TCCCTTCCTTTTCCACCATCTGTATGCACAAAATGTTATCCTGAAATAAAGAGATGTATCTCTGGCTCTCGGCCAAGGGGAGAGACATCAACATTCAGGGTGACAAAGCAGTTGTTACCCACAGACTCATTTCATAATCGATCTAAAGCACCTCAAAAGCTCCTTCCATGCTCCCACCGGGACGTGAATTTTGCTGCAAGCAAATTTTCTTGTAGTGTGTTTTCTCTGTCCTGTAACTGCCACTGAACATGTAAGAGAGATGTTGGCAATGTTTGGACATAAACAGCTTTGCTGTCTCCAGTTATTTTGATTTAAAAGGATGACAGAGTTAAATGGCCTTTGAAGTCAGCAGGATAGTTAAAATGTAAGAAGCCTCAAAGTCTTTTCTGTGGATTTTGGTGTGATTATTTCAGTCATGCTCTGCCTGTTGGGGCTTTGGAGCAGGCCCTGTCCCTGCTGCACAGCCCTTGGTGGGATGGCAGCGTGGTCCCTGCTGCTGGCCGCCGTCTGCCACCGCGGGAGGCATTGCCATCACTGCCACGCACCAAAATCCTCCCAAAGAAGGAGGAGAAAAATCCCTCTTTCACTGTAAACATCTTTCGGTGAAACAAACACCGTGGTCTCTGCCTAACAGATGCCTGGAAATGGAGTGTCTGATTAGGCAACAGTTTTTTTCTCTTCTGTATCTCTGCGGAGCACGCAGACCCCCCCATCTCCTGCCGCCGCCCCTGACTTACCATGTCCACGCTGCTTTTTTGGCACCTATGGACAATGTGTTACCTGCTTAAAACTCTCCCTCCCAAAGCTAATTCTTCACGGCAAGGTCAACCCAACCAAAGTCAGTGCAAAACACCGTGGCCTGATCCTGCAGAGTCACCCGGAGGCAGAGGAGGCCACGAGTGAATACCACGGCATTCGGACACATCTTTAGCGTGCTGCAGCCTTAGATAAACCTCATTTATTGATCTTCCCTATGAAGGAAACCGTACCCCTGCTGAGTTCTGGCATGTGCAATTCAAGGAGATCGGTTTCTTACCAAGGAAGCTACAACATGATTTAAAGCACAGCCCAGTGGAAATAAACTAGCTTCAATCCTAACTGGGAAGCAGTTCCCTAATTAAAATATCTAATACAATGTAAAGCTGCCCTTCAGCTAGACTATTAATGACACCCTTATATCACTGTGTGGGGATGCTATGTCCAGCTCTAGCACGCTTATTCCTGCGTGCAGTTCACTGACTGCATTGCAATTACTGTTAGTATTTGCAGGACAATAGCAGTGATGGGCAACGAGCAAGATGGGGAGCTCTCCTCTGCCAGGCACCCTACCAAAACTGGCCAGAAGGCCACCCCTACCTCAAAGAATGGGATCAGACGGACAAAAGCTGGGTGAAACGAAGCAGTCAAATCTCTGTGCCCAGGCAGAGGGAGGGAGGGGCTCTCACAGAAGAAAAACACGGATAATTCGACATATTTTGCACCTGAGGCTTGGCAGAGGCTGTTAGCTTAGGCTCAGTGCCAGACAAACAAGGTTTTTCTGCCTCTCCGCCCACACTGAGTGGCCTTGCTCAGGTTTTGCAGCAGGATGGCCGTCCTGGACGGAGCTGGGCTGCAGGAGCCCACCCAGGTGGTCTCTGGGCTCACAGCAGAGTCAATCTGCCAAACAGAGCATCCCCCACCGCTAACGGGGGGCCAGCTCAGCCGTTATCCTCTTTCGACAGATGTGGGGGACCGAGATACTAACGATAACGGGACTCCAGCAAGTTTGCCTGGGAAGACTCAGATATCCTTGACCACGTCTTTAACGAGACCATCTTTT